GTTGCCGCAGTGCACTATTCATAATTTTACGCCCAACAAGAATTTGAGGAATTTTCTACTTTTTTCTGGATTTTTTTGTTCTTTTTTATATTAAAAAATTTTTTTTTAGATTTTTTATTATTATTTGTTTTTTTGTATTATTTTTTTTTTATATATAATATTTGATTGTTTTTTTTTTTTTGCTTTTTGCGCTCCTCAGCGCATTTTGAAACTTTCTGCTTGTCGCTTCAAGTAGTTTTGTGCGCATCTCCGTTGCCGATTTTCTGCCATTTTGGCATATCTCTCGCTACATTCCACTACATTCAACAAACTTTCTCTCGTTTTCGATCTTCTTGTCAGTTAGCTGCCTTCTTCTGCACTGCACACCGCGCCCAGCAATGCCACTGCGCGTCGTCATGTACAAGATTATCCTTTTAAATTGCAATGATTACTTTTTCGTCATTGCACACAAAGCCACAAACACACACATATTAGTGTTGTAACTCTGCAAGTCAGCATGAAACACAGCCAAATGAATAACTAACTCGCCAAGTTATAGCCTGCGAATGAGAGTTGAGAGTTGAGTGTTTGTGAAGTTTGCTGCATTGCGCTTTGTTGTGCAACTAGTTCAACTAGCGGTCACACAACAACAACAGCAATAACAACCAAACTAAACTGTGAATGATATTATTTTGCTATTTCCCACACTTTCATTCGCAATCGCATAACATTGCTTTACTGGCATGTGGATTGTTCACCAGCCACCCTGGCGTATACGCAACCTTCACTTTGGCAGCAACTCAATGCGTGTGTGTGTGCGCGGCATTTCGGCCCCTCCAGCGTTCTGTCACGTTCGCTGCCTGCTATCACTGCGAGACAGCGCAATCATTCAAGGCAACAAGCGAAAATATTTATATTCATGTCGCGGTGTTGCGAATGGCAGCTCGCAATGACTGTTCGTCGCAGTTATTCTTGTTGCTATTGCATTTGTTGTAGTGCGCTATGTGCATTTGTCTGTGTCGCAATCAGAAACGTGTTAAAAGAAATACTTCATGTTCCACTTGCTTGCCGCAGCTTCGCATTCACAATCCCAGTCGCTGCGCGTTAAAACCGAATAGCCAACTAGCCAGCTCGCTATTTGGACATGCAGTCCTTGGCCACTGCTGCAGCGTGAAATGGACTTGACCGTTCATGCTTTTTTCATTGGCTGCGTTTTTAAATTTTTCCTTTTTTTTACATTATTTTCCTTCGTTTCGTTATTGCTGTTGTTGTGTTCGTATTAAATGTCATTTCACATTTCGTGACAAGTCGGCTAATCTGACTGGAAAGTTATTTATTTCGCCTCACTGCATCGTACCGTGGCGCTTATGCTCCTGCCTCCTTCTCCTCATACCTCCTCCTTCAACCGCTCAACTCTGCTTCTCAACTGCGCCCGCACTAAGCGCAGTCTATTTCGTCTGTAACATTATTGTATTTGAAATATTTTTTTTTTATTTTTTACTTTCGAGTGACCCGCTGCTACCTGCTCTTACGCTCGCCCTTCTCTTCTTCTCCAAATAAGTACACTTGCAGTGGCGCGTGAGCTGAGAAAAATTTCGTATGCTAAATGCATCCGTTTTCTTTTTCTTTGCTTTCGTTTCTGAATCTTTTTTCATACCAAATCTTCGTCTGCAACTCTTTTCTGCTTTGTTGTCCGTAGAAAAAATTACGTTCCATTAGATTTACGTTTTTTCCATGCAAATTTATAGTGTCTCCTTTTTGCACTTCTTCAAATGCACCAGCTGATAAGGAATATAATTGCGAAAGAATAGCGCAATAATGGTAAGGTAAATAAATTTCGGAACTATTAAAACAATGAGTTTACAGATTCGAAATTATTAAACATTTTACATAAATTACGGAAAAAATTCACTCAGTGGGGCTTTTATAATTTTTAAGTGGTCTTAAAGTTTAAAAGCATATATTAGGTAAAGTAAAAAGTTTGTTCGGGTTTTATCTAAGAGATGGCGTTATTGTCCATAGTACTAGTGTTACGTGTCGCATCATGTCATACGGCGCTGAAAACGTGTTTATTCGCGCTAAAAGTTTGATTTTGACAGTTTTTCGATTGATTTACTCAGTTCGTTGTGAGCGCTCGTGAAAGATGGACACCAACAAAGAGAAAATTCGCTATATTTCACAATTTTTCTTCGATCAAAGCGAAAAAGCAGCCAAACCGGCTGAAAACATTAATTTAGCTTATTAGCCCGATACTGTAAACGAACGTGTAGCACAAAAGTGATTTGCAAGGTTCCGTTCCGGTAATTTCGATGTCAAAGATGAACCACGCGTCGGGAGGCCTGTCGTCGAAAATTGCGATAAAATCATGGAAATAGTGGAAACAGACCGTCATGTGCACGAACAGCCCTTATTTAATTGCTGAGGAACTAAAGATAAGCCAGAAAACCGTTTGGAACTATTTGCATAACCTTGGATTCAAAAAGGAGCTCGATGTTTGGGTGTCACACGAACTAACGCAAAAAACATGGTGGACCGAATTTCCATCTGCAAATCGCTGCAGAATCGCAACAAAATCGACCTGTTTCTGAAGCAGATTGTGACTGGCGATGAAAAATGGGTCACTTGTGACAACATGGAGCGCAAACGATCGTGGTCAAAGCTCGGGGAAGCGGCCCAGATGGTGGCCAAGACCTTGAAGGCAGCACTCATCCAGAAGAGGCCATCTTTGATCAACAGAGGCCGAATTGTGTTCCATCAGGACAACGCCAGGCCACACAAGTCTTTGGTGACTCGCCCGAAGCTCCTGGAGCTCGGATGGGCGGTTCTAATGCACCCACCTTATAGTCCGGACCTGGCACCAAGTTCCTGTCCATGGCGAACGCGCTTAATGGTGAGAAGTTGGCCTCAAGAGAGGCCTGTGAAAATTGGCTCTCCGAGTTTTTTGGCAATAGGGACGCAGTCTTCTACGAGAGGGGTATTATGAGGTTGCCATCTCGTTGGCAACAAGTTTATGAACAAAACGGCACATATTTGACTTAAATCGGACAAATGTACACAACGTTATCATCTTTTGAAAAATCAATAAAAAACCGAACGAACTTCTAATCTTTACCTAATATTAGAAACGTGGGATGAAATTTTAGGGACTTTTTACACTTTAGTGTTTTTGTGACAATCAAGAAATATCTGGCACTTAAAATAGTTCGAGATTGCTACTGAATACCCAGAGCATACCTTTAGGCGCATTGAAATTTTCAGTTGCAGGTTGAATCTGCTTTTTGAAAAGTTTTAAGGTATGCATTGGATTCTATCATAGAAAACCAAGTCTAATATAAAGTTAAAGATCTAGTAGATTATTTAATAGTTTTAACTATGAAATTGCCTTAATTTCTGAATTAAAACTTATTGCGCTTATTCATGCTGTATTTGCATAGTATACAATTAGGAGCGCATGTAAATATTTTACTATTGATATGCTCCTAAAACGCTTGCTGGTGTATTTATAGTCAACAATATTGATTTATATTAAGATAAAATATAACTGTTTTTGCTATCAAAAAATTACTTAACGTTGGGCAATTTGCAAATTTATGTAAATAAAAATTGTAAAGGTGTGGAGATTTGTTGAACTTTTTTTCTAAAGTAAATTGTAAATAATAGTATAAGTATAAGCTGCTTGTCTGCAAGCGTAATTTTTGTAGCCTGTTCTTCTTTCACATTTTGTTGCATACTTTATGGCACTTACGGTGTTCGAAATTAAATTAACTATCGCAAACTAAATAATATTGCTGCTAAGTGAAATCCTCTTGCAACTAAAGCAAAATGTTTCATAATAGTCATTCACAAATGCTCCTAAATTCCATATCGCGAAAACACTTAGCATACTTTATGGCGTTTTTTATATTATTATATATTATTATTATTTTTAAAGTAGAAGTGATGCACTTTTGCTCAAGAAAGTTGTACTTAAGTTTAATTCAGCTGCTCAACAGCGCCATTTACATATCTTACATCCTTTTAGTTCATAAAGATTTCACGATAAAATATGAATATACTCTTTTGTGTCCTTTTCGCCAAGAAAACAAATCGGCACGTTCCTAATTTGTGCCATAATTCAGCAGTGTATGTGTGTGTTTGATCATTTTTTACACATTGATTGCTGGATTATTACCGCATTCACAATCAGACACTCACACACATACTCCTACAGTCGCACACATACACACACTGATATATGAGCGCATTTATTAGAAGCCGCTCTAAGCAGTTGTGAATTGCGCCACTGACAGTTGGGAACAAGCCACTCAAACAAATTTAATGCGCCAACACACATACACACACCTACACAAATATAAAAAAGTGATGTGTGCGACATGCTTCTCTCTCTCTCTCCCCCCTATGTGTGGGTTTGTGTGTGTGTTGTTGCGCGTGTGCGGCTTTGTCAGTCGAACAATAGTTGCGGTGCGGCAATGCGCAGCTACTTAAGAAGACAAATTGATGTTAGGCGACTTGAGAAATGAAAATGCTGGTGCCAGTTGAGCTGACTACATGCGATTGCTGACAGTCAGCAAAAGCTAGTGCTTTGTAAGGCATATATAGTAAAGGAGTACAGTTCTTTTTACCAACTACAGATTTATTACTCGCATGACTTTTTTGTGAGCGTTATGTGTGTGTGAAAGTATATGTAGATGTGTGGGTTTATGTGTGTGTATGTGTCTGCCTACATCTGTACTTGTGTGCGTGCTCTAGTGCATACTTTACTACGATAATTTATTAAGTTTACTTTGCTACAATAAACCAACGAGCATGCGTCGCGCAAAAACTTATCTGTGTACGTATGTGCGTGTGTGTACACAATAATCAAGCGATTAAGTTTATTACTTAGGAGTAACTTTTATAAAAAAAAAATAAAACACAAAATACTTAAGCTTTCACGCAACTATTCACCACTCCACCCGTTAATGCTCATATTTTTATATAATTTTTCATTTTCTCTCTTCTTCCACTTCCATTCGCTGCAGGGTCGCTGTAATCGTGATAAACCGCCGTGCAAATATTTTCATCCACCACAGCATTTGAAGGATCAATTATTGATAAATGGACGAAACCATCTTGCCTTGAAGAATGCACTGATGCAACAGATGGGTATGGCAACTGGACAGCAAGTCATACCGGGACAAGTGCCAGCCGTGGTAAGTATAAAAATAAATAATGAGCTTAGTCAGTTAAACAATGCGTGTGTTTGTTATAAGCGCAATTCATATAACATAATATCATGCTTATAAGCATACTTGTAGGAGCTGAAGCGCAAACTATATATTTCACATGCATTCAATATTATTCACTAGAAGGCACGAAAGAAGATAAAAGGCCAAGCTAGCATGATTTTTCATAAATCAAGAAACTGCCACTTGTACGGCTTAGAGCAGCAATGTACACAGAGAATTTTAATAAAGGAATTCAAGTGATGGCTTCGGAGCTTAAGTATTGCATAACTTATGGTCAAAGGGGTTCTGAAATTGATGAAGAGTATTTAAGATTTTTGTGTGATTGCAAAATTTGACATCATAATGAGCAGGGAGCTTAATACTTACAAAGATAGAATATTTTCAGAATCACTTTTCTTACTATACAGCGTATTTTAAGACAACACTCTTCGAAAGTCTGTCAGTTGATAATTATTTATGCGACTAGCTTGAGACATGTTTTTGATATATCCAAAAACTGAAAGAATGCGTGCGAGGAGTAAAAAGCACTTAAGAATAGTGTTTACTGAAAATTCAGAAATTAAGACAGCTTAGTAAGAACAGCTGTGAAACTGTAAATGTGTATTATATGAGTGCTTATGGTGATGCAAAGCTGTGATCACGACTAAAGAAGAGAGTACAAAAAGTTCTTAATATCACTTTGTTTGCTCTATTCGCTTTCGAAAATGTAAATGTGGAAAGTCGGGCAATGCAGTATAAATATTATAAGAGAAACTATTCAAAATGAACTAATAATTAATAAACATTTTGTTAATAAAACCTTAATTAATAAATGTGAGATAATATTAATATTAAATGATAGAATTGGCTTAAAATTCTCTTATGTATTGTAATTTAATTCTATATTTTCTTTTAACTCTCGATACTCGTTTTTGAACTATTTGAGTTGAATTATACAAAATTAGGAAGAATTTAACATTCATTCACAAATTGTTAATTTTTAACAACTTTTACAGAATATATATATATTTTTTTTTTTTTGAGGAAAATCTACTATTTTCCTTGATTTCTATTTCAGTATTCTGCTTAAGATATCTTATAGTTCAAAGATTTTCAAAATAAACAACACTTTTTCTATCACATAATTCTTGGCTATGCTCTATTTTAGGTTACTATGCACTTTGGTCTCAATACATCCCTTAGCGTCCTTTTCCACTTTCAATATTTCAATAAAAACATGAAAAAAATGTTTTACACCGAAGCTATAATACCCATGCCAAATACAAAATGTTATATATGCTATAGCGGCCCCCATCTGAACAATCTCTTCGGAGATTATACTATTGCGTTAACCAATATTTCGTAACAAATTTCGTGAAGATATTTCGTTAAATAGAAAAGCTATCTTTACAGGGACTTGATTTTAATCGATCCGTTTGTATGGCAGTTATATGCTATAAGCATCCGATAGCGGCGGTTCCGACAAATAAGGAGCTGCTTGTAAAGAATGTCTCACAGACGGACGATCAGACAAACATGGCTTAATCGACTTAATCCATGATGCTGATCATTTGTATACAGTGTATATTACGTTTCCTTCTAGTTGTTACAAACTTTGTAAAAAATGTATCCTGTTCAGGGCATAAAAACTATATATTAAGCCTACGCTTTGAAAAAAAATTTAATTTTAATAAATAGCCATATTCGATTTTCAAACATTTCCTAACTTGATTAGGATTCTCTTTATACATTATATATGTACATATACACACCTGTCTCTGCTCTAGATCTATTCTTATGTGGATAGAAAATTTCAATCATTCCTTGAGGCTCGTAAGATACAAAATATTTTCTCCTCGACTGTTCGACATTCTTCGAGCTGAAATTTTTTCAATTCCAAATGGTCTTACTAATTAATGCTATACTTTTTTTATATAAAATAAGCACGTTAAAAAAACTGGCTACAGTCCATTGTTCCTTTTGGCGTTTCGTTAGGATATATTTCACCCTTATATTATTCAAGGAAACATGCATTAGCGCTTATATTTGGAGATAATTTCACACTCCGCTTTCAATATTCATAATAACCAACGGTTTCAGCGGCAATTTAATTAAAACGAAACTTGTTACTATATACTATATATATATATACGTTTTCAAATTTTCATATACAACTAAATTATCACAGAACACTTTTGGATTTAATAACTTTCCTGATTATATCAGCTATATTTGCTGATTGATTAAAAAAAAGATCAATTTTTTTTTAATACCGACAGCTACTAAATAATCTTTCCTACTCGAGCGTTATCAACAATGTCAAACAATATAGAGAGTACTCCTAAACTCCCAACTCAGTGACAATTTAATTTTCCACAATATACCTTTAAATATATATCATTTATTAAGTGCATAAGTACCGAAAAAATATTTTTCAAGCTGTCGTTTACTCCAGTCACCACGCTTCCTCCTCGTGCTGAACTCGGCACACTCCAAACTTCATAAAATATTTCTGTCACTCCTTTTCAAAATTAGTCAGCAGGGCAGTTTGAAATTATTTTTCGCAACGGAATGCATTATATTAATTTAAAATTCCAACAACCGAATGACATTGACACATTCTCACTTCGCACTGCCACGTCGTTCGCTTACAAGTTCCCCAAACAAACCCAACCTTCGACGTCTTCATGCCCATCATCATCAGCTATTCATCACCTGTCAAAGCTGGCGAGCGGGAAAAAGTCGAAATGTGTATTTAAATTAAAATTCATAATAAACCGTCGCAGCGCAGTTGATGTAATGGCAGCGCAGGCTCTTAACAGCAGCCAACAGCTACCAGCCATTGGCGACTAAATACTGTCATTAACGGCGCTCACACTTTTACAGCTTGTCCTTACCGTATTGCCGACTAAATGACTCATTGCTCAGATACACCCAAGCTGTAACTGTCGGTGTGTTTGTGCGCCTGCCGCACAGATGAATAACAAATCCATCATTTTCATTTAACAACAACGTCGGTTGGAGCACGTCGTTGAGGAAAGACCATAACCCATTAGCGCGCCCGGTATATATGTATATGAGTCTAAGTATCTAAGTATCTGTATAGATAAAATATAAGTTGTAGCCGTTTTGCATATTCATAACAAATTGATAGCTTTAAAGGCTTGCGAAGTCAGCTTTCTTTTTAGAAACCTAATTTTTACATTTTTTAAATGAAATTTTGCATATAAATTAGAATTCTAATTAAATATTTGCATCAAAAATATGCTTTCGAAATGTTGCAAATTTTTTATTTACTAAAAATAGCTATAAAAAATTATTTATTTTTTTGAAAAAGAAATTATGTTGAGGAGTTGAGTAAATTTTGGGTGGGGCGTATGAGTAACATTTCACTTGGATACAAGCTTTCAATATTTCTTGAATATTTTCGTACAGACAAATGTATAGTAAGTGGAGATTAAAGATTTATATTTATTTAGCTTTTAACATATGCTATTGTTGTTATATTTGTATACAACGTTCACAAAATTCGAATTCGCTAATATATTACATACATATGTTCATACATAAGTCTAGGTCGTCATTTTAAATGCATTTTATTTATCACTTAATATACTCTGCTTTACTTTTTCTAACTATTTCCCATCGTTTACTTTAGTTCGATTAATTTCCGTTAATTTCTTTAATTTTTATATATTTTGTAAATTTGTTTCCAAGTTTTCATTACAATATTTTATTGCACTTTATTTTATTTTTATTTATTTAAATTTGTATTATTTATAAATAAATTATTTTATGAGGTTTTTTTATAATTATATGTTATTTATTTTTGTATCTTTATTAATTTTTTTATTTATTTAATTATAACTTATTTTTAAATTTTTCTCTTTTTTTTATTTTACTTTATTTTATTTTGATTTATTATAATTTTTAAAATTTAATTTTAATTTAATTTAGTTTAATTTTATTTTTTTTTCTATCGAAACTTAATTTAATTTCGTTTAGTAAAATTTAAAATTATTTTATTTTATTTATATTAATTTAATTTAATTTATAATAATTAGTATTAATTTAGTTAAATGTAATATATTAATTTTTTTTTAATTTTTTTTTGTTATTATTGAATTTTTCTTCTCATTTAATTGCATCTCTACACTCCTTGACTCTCTCGTGTTGGTTCATTAGAATTTATTCTAATACTCCACGGAAAACACTTCGTTTATGACTTACGGTAGAAATTAACAGTGAATTTGTGTAGTAGCTATAACAACGCACATATATCTGTAGGCAGTAAAAAATTATTATTGTTAATAAATATTTAAAAAAATGTACCTACTTAATTAATTAATTTTTCAGTTTGGCCCCAAAATGATTGTTGTTTATCTTTCTCTCTTTCTCTCCCTCTCTTTTTCTTTTCATTTTTTTTTCATGCTAATCTCATAGCCTCTTGTTTATTCACAGGCCACAAATCCCTACTTAACCGGAATACCGGCCAATCCGTACCCTAGTCCATATTATGCGCCTGGAACTTTAGTGCCTGCATTACTCGGACCAGATCACACACAGTTGGGTCAAGTGGTGCCACAAACGGTACAAGTGGCACAGCAGAAAATCCCACGTTCCGATCGATTAGAGGTGAGTCCAAGGCATTTCAAGTAATTTTTTTTAATTTCTGCTTTTAGTATACTTAGAAACATAAAAAAAACTGGCAAACTGATAATATTATTAATAATTTATTAAATGCTTTTGTTTGTTTGTTTTGAGAAGCAAATAACAAACAAATAAACAGTTACACTAACTTTAAGGTTAAGTTTTAAGTGTTTAAATTTGGTTTTTGTTCTGCGATTTCATTTGAATGAGTTCTTATAAAAACTTCTTTAATTATGGATTATTTTAAATTAATTTAGCATGAAGTGTTATTTTTGTTATTGTTATATGTTGTGTGCGTTTAATTTATTTTGAATTTATGGAAAGTATTTAAATTTAAATTAAATTTCATAAATTTTTTTAATGAAATTTTGGCAATATCGTATGCTTTCAAACAATTTTTTTATTATAACATGAAAAAAATTTTGCTATAATTTATATAGTAACTTATGTTTTCGTCAGTTAAAATTTTCTACCAGATAACAAATAATATTTGCTCTCTGTCTTAAATGTTTGCAATATTTCAACTGAAACAATTTTGCTATAATTTTAAAGCAGCTAATTTTTGGCGTGTGTGTTTAAATTCTTTACCGGATGACACATAATATTTATATTTTATTATAATACAATGGAATTTTCTTGTAAATAGTCTTAATATTTCCAATTACAATAATCTGTAATTATTTAGAATATTAAAAATGCAACGTTTAAACTGAGTGTGCTATAACTGATTTGCTCCCACGTTATCTTCTGATTTATATCTTTATATAAATGTGCCTAAAATTTTAAATCGTAGCGTTGAGATGTTTTCTATAATTTTTAAAGCAATCTAAAATTACTCGAAATTTGCTATAACAACTCACTCACAGGCAAATGTCGCAAATTTTAGCGTTTTGTAAGTAAATCTAAAGTTGCTATAATTTTATAGCATATTCTTTTTAAGCCACCTGTTTGTTAGCCTGGTTGTGACTGTCTGAATATGTTGCAAGCACTAAAAGAAATAAATATTTTGCATTAGTGGGCTTAGTTTAATCATAGCATTATTGAAGATAAATTAACAAGTGTGTTAAAAGTTTTTAAAACGTATACAAAATTCATAAAAATACTCACAACAAAAATGTTATATTGAATAAATTTAGGTAGTGAATAATGTCCGATTTCAGGCATACGATTTTGTCAAAATAAAAAAACATGTTAAATAGTTCGGCGCAATACTATTTGTATTGAATTTTAATAATAATTTTCTTTTTGTTTTTTCTATTAGTTAAAAAACAGAGTATTTTTAATTATAACTATTTTGCTTCATTAATATTTTATTTTATTATTACTTTTCGAAAACCAAATTTGTTTATATTTTTATATGTTTATATACATACATACATATGTATTGTATATATATATATATATATTTAAAAAAAATATATATATTTTTATCTATATACATATATATTCCGTTCCATTCCTTATTGCTGTTGTGTTATTAATTTGAAAACAAAAAGAACATAATAAAATGTTTTGTGTCACTAATATTTACCAACGACGTAATTACTTTATAGGAATACTCATTAAAGTTTTTATTGAAAAAAATAAATTGATCACACATTCAAAATAAAATTTTGTCGTTTATATTTAAACTTTTTTGCAAGTCGTTGCATTATTTTTCATACGCGGTCTTACACGAGCGCTGTGTTTTTGGTTTTTTTTTTTTTAATTTTGACCTTTTGCTGCGCTCTTTGCTACCCAAAGTTATTATTATGTGAAATTTGCTTTTGCTCTGCGCGCGTTTTCCCACTCACTTCACACTCCAAACAAAAGCGCAAGGTACTCTGTAATCAATGTAAGTCCCGAAACAGCAGCAAAATTTTTTTTAAAAGTTTTTTCATAAAAAAATTTTTTCTTAATTTTTTTTTTTAAACAAAAAATGATATTTTTTTATATATTTTTCTCATAAGTAAAATTGTAAATATTGAACATTGGAATTTTTTTTAATTTTTGTTATTTTGGCCACCCTATATATCATTGCAAAATAGCAAATATCTTACAAAAAAATTCTGGTTTATTTAGAACCTGAAATAAGGTATTCGACGCTATTTCAACTTAACTTAAACACTTAAAATTTAAAAATAGAAATTATTTAAAGTTTTGTTTAAAATTTGTTTAAATTTTTTTATAATTTTTAGTTTAAGATTTTATTTATAAATTTTTTTTTTTTTGTTTTTGAAGGCTTAAAATATATTTTTTTTTGCAATTTACTTACCGTTGTTGTGTTTCTCTTTGTTATTGTTTTTGTGTTCGCAAACATGCAACTAATTCGCTGTAATTGTATTGATTATATAAATTATATACAAAAATTTGTAAAGCAAAGGCAAAAATTGGCTTGTCGTCCAGTTAAGCGCTTAAACTGAAATAACCGCTATGAAACGCCTAAAATTGTACTACAGTGCGTGTACAATTTGCTACTGGGACCACGCCTAACACGCCGTCGTACGCGCCAAAACTCACCGCAATCCTATTGTGTTTCAGAACTATGAAAAAATTCGTTAAAAAAGTTGGCATGCAAATTTACAACCAAAAATTGTACTTACAAAAATAATCGCTGTGTTTGAAAATGTATTAACTCAAAATTTGCTACTACAAAAGAATTTAATTTTTCACAAATGCCTACAATTGTACTCAAAAAATAATTTCCTTCCATTATTTCCTCCCAACAACCAAAAAAAAATATGTGTAAACAAAAAATAAAAAAAAAACAACAACAACCAACACCAACACAACCACAATCGCCAACAAAAATTTTGACTACACCGATACCTACAAATTTATTACCACCAACACCACCACCGCCACCACTAAAACCACCACCACCACCACAATCACCAACAAAAATCAAAATAAATTCAACAAACAACCGCAACAACAATTGCAACAAATTGCATACGCAACTGCAACTGCTGCCAAAATGCTGCCGCCATCGCCTCTGCCGCCGCCACTGCCGCCGCTGCCACAATCACACCAATACCAACAACAACTACAACAAAAAAAATTAAAACAACCTACTCACCGCTACCGCCCAACAACCAATTTGCCAATCCTACAACGCGTTCAACAACCAACACCAACGCCTGCGCATATGCAACGAAAATCCATAAAAAAATGGGCAAACGATGCAAACGAATTTGAATTGATTTGGAAATCGCACACCCTCGTCAACGGCGCACGCACACGAAAAAAAAATTGTTCAAAAATTATTTAATATTCGACAACAAAAACAAAAAAAACACACACACGCACTCAAATAATATGTGGAATGCGTAAATGGTGTGCTGCTGCGCTTTGTTGTTGTAGGTTTGCCGTGAATACTTGCGCGGCGCCTGCAAGCGCGCCGAGTCGGAGTGTCGCTTTGCGCATCCACAGGATAGCGTCGCCCGGCACGATGACGGTTCGATAACGGTGTGCATGGATGCCGTGAAGGGCCGCTGCACGCGCGATCCATGCCGCTACTTTCATCCCCCCTTGCACCTGCAGGCACAATTAAAAGCGGCGCAAACGCGCGCCACTGCTGTCGCTACTGCGGTATGGCTATATTGTTCTTATAAATTTATGATAATTTCAACATTTATTTTCATTTCTTATGATTTCTTTTCTTTCTGTCTTCTATAAATTATGTGTAATAAGAATGTTTACTGATTTTGATACTAAACTATTGCATACCAAATATAACACACCTAAAGAAACATATTTATTTGAAAATAATGGAATGTTTCCAAGAGGAAAATTAAGGAAATTACAGCTTCGGTGTGGTTGTTGTAGAAGTCGGAAGAGTTTTTCAACTCATAAAAAAAATTTCAATTTACAACAATAGCATATAATTTTTGCTATAATTTTGTTTTGGATTATAAGTTGACTATAAAATTTCCAAATTAGCGCCCTTTCAACTTACAAAAACAATATAAAAATTATATTTTATACGGAAATTTTTATAGCACTTCTTATAACTATATTAGTTCACAATTACGGCTATAGTTTTACCATAATACTTCTGTATTCAAGTTAAATCATTAATTTTTACTTGACATTTTTTACTTGACACTTGACATGAAGAAAAAAGTTTTGGAAAGTAATTTCCGGTACAAAATTCTTATTATAGGAGCAAAATTTAAAATTTTAAATTAATTTCACATGTTTAGTATAACATTTATCTGTATTATTTACATTATGTGCAGCAACGAACACATAATATATCCGCTATTATATTTTATTTGTGCTATAAACTTGCCATATTTTTATACTTAATACGCATACGTAAGCGTAAAATGAAGTCCGTCGCGTTTCTATGCCCGTAAATATAAATTTTATTGAATTTCGTACAGCACATAGTTGCCAAAATTCTTATAGCAAGCTAAAAAAATGTTGTCAGTTACTCGTTAAAAATCATAGAGGTGCTGAAATAGTTTTCCTCCTTATATATATAAGTATACTTTTATTTCCGTAAATATGATTTGTAACCCTGTTCATGTAGCAAAAAAACCAACCTTTAATTTGTATAGCTACTAAAATATCTTCACAGTTAGCTGGAATAGTTCGCAATTAATTCAAGATAAGATAGCTTTTCACAGCTTCTGAGTTGGCTATAATTATTATAGCATATAGAAAAACCTTGGCAGTGACATGTTACAAATATAGGCCGAAATTAATTCAAGATAAGATAGCTTTTCACACCTTCTGAGTTTGCTATAATTATTATAGCAAACAGAGTTTCGATTTTTTTCTGTTTTGAATACTAAATTTTTAAAAAATTGCGTCAATTTACTACACAACCACGCCGTTGGAATTTAAAAATTTACTTTTTGTTTAAACAGTTCTTTATTATAGTTGTGCTCATGCTTGTTAAGTAAATGCTCAACACTAAATAATGCTTACTTACACAAATATTATCTATAAATAAGAGAAACTGTATGTATGCGAAGAGCAAATATTTCAAATATATTATAAAACTTAATACAATTCTGTGACTTAAATATTTAGCTACCTTATCTTTTTTTTGTGATTATTTGTTTGTTTTTTCTTGTTTTGCAATTTATGCTCCACTGACACAATATTTTATTATACTTGTAATATTTTCCAGTACAAATATTTTGGTCAACTGCTATATTTAAGTTTATTATACAACTGCGAATATGTTTATTGAATGCCTGCTTGTTTCTTTCCTACTGATTACAAGCAAGCCCAAATATTTTGTTGTTTGTAGCACACTATATTAGCTATTTTTGTGGATTAGGTTAAGAAATAATTAGTATTTAAATGTCATATGATCCAAGAAACTAAATTACTTAATTTACATAATTACTTTACTTACTTAATTAAGTTTCCTTAAAAAAAAATGTTTATTACGGAATGTATCTTTCAAATCCTTCGAATTGACACCCAACGAAGCAAAGAATTTTTTATTGAGAAAAATACGTGGACATAATCATTTAAAACTAAGTTTTATATTAAAGGAAAGTAAACCAGGTATAGTCTGGTTTTTATGCCACTACAAGCAACCATGGAATTTCTATAATTTTTATGGGAAATTGTGTTACACCTTTTTAGCAAACACTGCTTATAGCATAATATTTAAGTGTAATAAGGTACCATAAAGTTGCTATAATTTTTATAGGAGTTGCTGTTACTATATGTAGAAATCACTGCGTAGATTAAAATCTTATAGTTTTAATAGCATTTGGTTGCATTTAAATATTTTATGTACAAGTATTTGTATAGTAGCTCTTTCCATAATTGTTATCAGTACAACTCTTTTATGTTGTGGTACCTTGTGCGATTGTGTTAAGAATTTTTTATATTGTTTTTGCAGAAGAAATATATTTTTCAAGTAACAAAATACATAAGTAAATCTGGCACAGTCTAAGTCAGAATTTTCATTAAACATAACGCTATAATCTATAAGGGAAAGAGTTGCCTTGTTATTGTCTTTTTTTTAAACAATAGAAATTTTAGGTCATTTAAAAACTAATAAGAAAATACTAAAGTTTATTCCATTTATATAGCAAGCCTTTGCTATAATTTTTATAGTAACAAAAATAATATAAAAAGCTGTCTAGTATTATATCGTTTTAATAGGTATATATTGAAGTGTATTCAATTTTTATAGCGAGCTAATTCTATAATTTTTTATGAAAATAAATTGTATATAGAAGATGCCAAAGAAGATGATTTTTAGACTTTAAATTACAGACGTTCCCCAATTTTTTTAAGAAGCAGTTAGTTAAATTTTTAAACTATTTAAAAAATTTTATTTATGCTATAATTTTATTATTTTTCGTGAAGAAATAAATATTTTTGGACATTTAGAAAACTAATAAGAAAATCTTAAAGTGTATACTTTATTTTAGTAAGCAGTTACTATAATTTTTATAGGAAAAATGTATATGTACATATAGAAGATACCGAATCTTATTTAGTTTTTATATAATTTAATAGTTATATATTGAAGTGTATTCTATTTTGTTAGCGAGCGAAAAAATTATAGCAACAGAATTTTTTCCTAAAAAACAATTTAAGAAGATGACTAATTTGAAAATTTGTAAATTCCAAAACTTTATTAAGAAATAAATAATTTAATTTTTTAAATAATTTGATAATTTTATAATTAAATTTAGTAATTTTTTATAGGAAAAAATTTTTTTTAGAAACCCTTTTGAGATTATCGCTCAGGAAGCATGGTTAACTATTACTTAAATGCTATAACTTTTAAAGTAAACATTTACTACACTTTTTAGACCAAAAATTAAACTGCTGGGCAACAAACATTCATTCTCTTAAACGACAACTGCATTTAGGTTGAGCTTGCACTAAAAATTTACTACACTCACAGCCACCTAGGCAGGTATGGTAGCAGGTAGATAAAGCCTTATACGCGTACAATAATAATGCGGCTAATTTGCAAAATATGCGTGCTAACGCCGAAAATTATGCTATAAATAATTTAATGCAGTTAAAATGATAATATTTGTCAAACGCGCTAAACTGCATATATATATATGTATCAACTGCAAGCTAAAACACACACATACACACATACATGGAAGTGAGTATGTATATGTGAGCGGTATGAAATTTCAACTATCACTTACATTAATTGAACTGCATTAATCGCATTAATAGCAGCAATTATGCTGCGCCTGTGTGCATAAATTCACACATACAAACATATGTACATTTATATGTATGCATGTATGTGTGCGTATGCAGATCAACGATTTGTAGAATGTGTGAATGACTTCCACCATTTTGTCTACAAACAAAATGAAGTTTCGCACAACTTTTACAAAGTTAAATAAATAAGGCATAAATTCAGGCGCCATGGCATGGCGTATACGCTACACTCTGCTTTTGCAAGTATGTTCCATATGTGTGTCTATAATGCAGTTATGTGGCAATGTACACATACTTACAAATATATATGCTTATGTTGTTGTTGCTTTTGTTGTACGCATATGCGCGCCACGTTTTACGTAGGCAATAAATGTTGATTTTCGCTTTTGGTAAATTAACATTTATTACAGCACATTGCCGTCCCAGCACATATGCAACGAAGGTTTACATATATACGTGAAAATATATAGATATATATTATATATATATACTTACATATACTACTAATTATTGAAGTGACTTCAAAGGTAGTCAAATGAGACAACGTATAATATATAGTATATAAATATACAAATGCATACAGTTATGCCAGCGTATATAACTATGAGGCTCGCCAGCACTTAATGCCGGCGCGCGCTTAATTGCTTCGGTTGGAATTTATATGTCGTACGTAATTGCCGCGTAATATGCGCGTACGCGAATGAAAAACCATTGCAGCATTTTAGGCAATTTCCAACACATTCAGATAGACACACATACATATAGACATAATCGTAGATATTCGTTGTTTGTACTCAACCAACGAATACAGTCGAGCGGACGAACGTCTGTTCAAAGCAGTAATAAATAAGCTTTTTTATTGTAATTTGAGGCTTAACGGTTCGTTGTTGTCGTTGTTGCGCTGCGTCTTTTGGCGCCTGTGTGTATGCTTGTAGTATGTGCGCGTGTTCACGTGGCATGCTATGGGGATTTCCGTTTTCACGCCGCAATGCGATATAAATGTCAACTACAACAGCAGCATGAGCAAATTATAGCAATAACAACAAAAATATTAACAACAACAGTAACTGAAGAGAGCGTTGAACTTTATTTAGAAATTTTATAAGCATTTTTTTTTAGATAAAAGTGCACACTGTTTAAAAGTTATCAATATTTTTATTTTATAGGAACTATATATAGTTATAAAATCTTGTTACTTTTCTTTATATTCTGGCTTGTTTTGTGTTTTGTACTTCAAAAACATAATCCAGCAACATTTGAGATGACTTTTCTTGCTATTCTGAAAGTTTACTATAATTTTAATAAAACTGAAATGTTATTACTATTGCTATAAAATACATTTATTAGGTAAAAACCGTTCATCAGGATTATTTTTAAATTTGCTATAATTTTATAGGAAGTTGAATTATGTGCTATAA